CCCGAGGGATTCTTGGTAATTCCATTGTAAGCCTTGCAGAAGTAATACTGTCAAAGAACATGCTGAACTTGGATGCTATTACTGCTCTTTTTCTCATGGTGCAGTTTTAGCACTTAAAGAGAGTTTAATCTGGTATCATGTTCTTTCTCATTTGCCTAGATTCTTATTCAGAGAGTTCAAAACCAAAGGAACAGTTTTATAGAGCAGGCAGTGATGAAGAAAATGGTCCTGGAGCAACTCAAGGTAATGTGAGAAAGGGTTTGTACAAAGAAAGAGATCCTAAATCAGGGTAACTTTTAATATCCAAAGCATTATGAGTGACTAAGACTTTCATTTCACGTCCTAGTGATGTTTCCTAGTGATGCAAAATCTTCTGTGTAACTCTTGTGGTGGAAGAGTGTCATACAATCTCATATACAAGTGCTAGTTTTCTCTTCTATATGAGAAATTCAAAATAAATATTTGCTGGTAGTTCTGCAGACACTTCACAGGATCCAGTCACATGAATCCAACAATGTGACAACTGCTTCTCCCAGACATTGCAACCATAATAGCTTGTAAACTGTTACCTTATTTCTGAGACAGATGGGGAGAATTAAAACAGAGGAAAGACATATTCCAAATAAGAACACTGGTGTACAATTTGAGCTGATCAAGGGATCTTAATCCAAGTGATCTGAAGAAAATACTGATTCCTAGCTGTGGGGTTTGCCTGGGGGGGTACATGTGGTTTGTAGCTTGGGTTTCTTTTATAATTTGAAATAGGTGAAGGAGAGCAAGTGTTTGGAGAAGAACTGCATTTTCCTAGAGCTGATCAAAAAGCTCTGTTAGCCATTGTCTGCTGTCCAAGAGATCAACTGCCAAAGGCACAAGCAGTTCTGAACCTCAGTTGCCCATATCCCATACTGTGCTGCACCGTGTCTTTATTTTCTATTGCTGTTCTTATATTAAGGACTTTTTTAAGTTAAAAAACAAACTAAAAGCTTTTCCTTACAACCCAAAAGCTAAAAAATAAACAAAAAGCTTTGAAGTGCTTATAGAGAAGACAATTATTCTAAATCATTTCTCTTTCTGTTATTCAGATTGAATATTGATTTCTAGGTAAAAAGTGAAACAGGAGTACTTTGATTTACTTTTCTGTTTATACATGTATCATTGGTAAGCAGAAGTATTTACAATAAAACTGTGCACAGTAACATTTGCTGAAGGATGGATTCCAGTTAAGTACAGACATGTCAGTATTACAGCCCTGTGTTGCTGGATTATCAGCTACTGCTTTCTCTAGTGGAAATTAATACCTCTACTCTTCCAGAGGCCTCTCCACTGCCTGAAAATGCTCTGGAAGATGATTATGATGATGCAACAGAGGCCCCTGGACCTAGAGATGCTTCTCTTTCTGAGCAGAATGAACAGGAAATCATTGGGATCCCTGGAGAAAGTGACAGAAACAAGGATTCCCAGACAGGTGAGGCCAGAAGAGCAGTGCTGTTCTGTTTTTACATCCAGCTAATCTATACCTCTGCTCTGCTTTCCTCACTGACATGAAATTCTTGCCTGTGGCCAACCCAACCTAAGTTTCCACTGTTAGAATGACCATGGGGACAGAGGGTTTTAAGTACTTGAAGACTGATAACAGTTTGTTCACATACCTATCCTCAGTCCTGTTCTGTATTTTGTTTCTCTACGCAGCCACAATTTAAATTAGTCAACTTTCTACTTAGGCCTTGTAAACTACACTCTGCCCATGATGTGTCTCCACTCAGTCCATGTCTGTAGGCCTGTATCTTTCAAAAATTGCTTAAACCCCAAAACTTTAAGGTATTTCTTTACAGCATGGTACTGAGATCTTACTAGTGTCAGGTCGAGCAGAAGGACCAGCATATCCTTCTGTTTATGGATGCTCAGGTGATACTTCCCCTTTTTCCATCAACATGACAGGCTTGAGAGAGCTCAATGCTTGATGCAGCTTCAAATAATGCCTTGTAAAATACTACATATCATTAGACATGTGTTTTTCAAATTATGCAATTGACTGTTTCTCCTTTCATCTGTAGTCTCTTTGGTGTCCTTATTAGATCTCATTCTATGTCCACAGAGGATGGATTCAGCTGCATTTTTAACCTGGCATTAAATTTTTAACCTGGCCCATATAATTCAGTAAGAATTAACAGCAAATATTTAAGACAGACTTTTCTTTATCAGTGTATTTAATATAACTGTGGAACACTTGATCTGAACTCTACTTTTTGGGGTAGTGATAAATATTTCTGGCCTATTTGAGATGTGGAAAATAATCAAAATACAGGACTCAAAGTAACTAGAGAGACATTACAGAATGTTTTTTTCACAGCCCATGAATACATTCCTTTTAATATTGTGTATAAAGCTTGATCCTTGGATATGTATACACACTGCAGAAGGCAGAGTGACATAAACATTCTCAGGTCTTTCACAGTCACTCCTATCCAAGGTTCTAATTTCTGGAGGAGACAACTGGCAGCTGCACAACCACACAGAGGTAATACACACAGGATGTGCATTTTTCTATCTCAGTGTTCTTCCCTTCATGTTTTCAGACTGGATTCCCAGAAACAGGACCTCTGAAGCTGAGAGATCCTCATCCCCTGCTCTTGAGGATACGGGTTATGACGACATTGAAGAGCTGGGGCACTGATAGACTGCTGAGCTGCACTGACTTCTTCTGGAAATACACCACTGTTCATAAAATGCTAATCCTGTACTAGCAGAACCAGACCAACCTGCATTTAGGACTAGCTTGCATAAGTTTTGGTTATTTCCCAAGAAGAGATTATATACGTAAAATTTAAGGAAGCATGGTGGTTAAGAACAGCTTTGAAATTTCTCTTATAATTTCTTGTTGTTAAGACTTAGTGGACACTTTTCGATTTTATTTTAAATACCTTCTTTTTTTTTTTTTTTTTTTACTGAGTTAATTTTAAAATTATGATTTTTCTTATTAGAAACTGTCCAAAGATCTCAAATTTATGCTTTTTCTCCCAGATATATGGGGACAGCTTCTGGTAATTATTTGGAATGGAGATTGAACTGCTAGAAAATCATCAAAATTCTGTTTCAGCCAAGTCTTTTGAGAAAGGAATTCTTGCTGATTGCTTCTGCAGCAACATCAACAAGATGTGACACATGTGCTGCAGGCATGCTATGAGGCACAGAAGGAGGGAAACACATACACCCATGGGATTTAACTGCATCATACAATCTACTTTTCCTGGCTCACTAACAGGAAAACTGGGAAAGTAGAAAGTTTTTGTAAGGAATAGTAAAAGGCAGCAGAAACCATCAGGAGCAACAAATGTTATGCTAAAAAAAGGTGTAGCAAACTATTCATCCCTGTCAGAACTATCTGCACGGGACAGAACTTCTCCTCTCCAGGTGCACCAGGCAGTGACCAGGAAGAAGGAATCCCTGGAGACTCAGAGATGGCAACAACTGATGTCACAGGCATGGTCCGGTTGAGCTGAGTGCTCTCCAGGTGACTGGGTTATATAATCCTCAGCGTGACTAAGTGGACTGACATTGGGAATGTGTTAAAATTTGTAGCCAAACTCTTACAGCTTTCTGCCTGCACCTGAATGGCACCTTCACAAGGAAATGTTTAGGATAATTGGAGTAATTGGATTAAAAGCATATTAACAATTAACAAGATTAATAAAAGATGTAAAATGGCTTAACTGTGGGATCTGTCAGGCGAAGTTTCTCTTCTAAGGGATAAAAACAGATGCATACAGGATGAAATCCTAGAGAATCAGGCTACAGCTGAACTCTTTACAAATTTGTCTTTCAAACTTTTGAAAAAGCAGGTACAACAGGAGGTTGTTTGTGAGTGGGGTTACAAGCAGCAGTGCTTTTTGCAGTCGGTGTAGCCAGCTGTGCTGGAGTCACCTCTGTGTGTACAAATTTATCTCTCTGGGACACACAGCCTCACTGCTGCCTGAGCCAGCACTTGGGAAAGCAGCAGTCACATCCACAGGCTCCAGTGGCCCGAAGAGAGGAACCCACAGACCCCAGAGGATGCCTGAGGCAGTGACTCATTGCAACTCTTTAAAGTCACACTCTGCAGTATTTTTGACTCCTTGAGAAAAACGTAAGGCAGGATTCCCCTTTGGAGAAATCCTACCAAGACTCCTAAATAGAATTTTTATTCAGTCATTTATTCTTTTTTTTGCCACCAATATGCTTGGTAAAGTCTTCACGCTTAAGTTTCCCAGCTCTCTCCCAAATCTTTTAACGATTGGCTCGCAGCCCCGTACTCAGGTGTTACGAAAGACTTCAGGGAGGGGTCACAAACTGTTGTTGGCATTCAGATTTTTCATTCTTGAGTTAAAGTTACTCATAATTCAGTAAATTAGTAAATTTCAGTAAATTAGTAAACTAGCAAATCAGTAAACCGCTTTGCTAAAAAAAAAAAAAATCAAGATTACAGCCAAAGGAGGGATCCAGGAGCACGTTCCCGATGACATCCAGGGCTAAAGGGCGTTGTTGCGGTGGGGAGGGAACCGTGGCACAGCTAGAGCGGTCTGGGATTGCACAGCGCTTCTGTGGGACGGGCAGGAGAGGAACTAAAGGCGGTGAAAGGGGAGGGCTTAGGTGAATGGAGGAGGAACAAACAAGTGTGGCGAAAATGGAGGGTAGGGGGATATAAGGGCCAGTGGCACGTAAATCGCTTGCTGATGCGGCAGGGACGCCGTGCTCCCGGGAAAACATGCTGGACCGCCCCGCCGAGTCAGCTCTCGGGTTCCCTCCTCGGGAGCTTGCTCTCTCCCGGCCTCGCCATGGCCAAGGGCACGGGCTCCCTGCCGGCCCCCTGCGATCCCACCCCCGCTCTTCCTCCCGGGCCGGCACTCTCCGGGCAGCCAGCGAAGCGAGCCGCACGGCGGGGCCGAGCGAGCGGCAGCCGCGGGGAGGCGGAGCCGGAGCGGAGGGGCGGCGGCGGAAGGGCCGCCCCGCTGCCGCTCCGTGCCCGGAGGGGCGGTGCTGCGGCCGTCGGACGCTGCGGAGCGGCGGCACGGCACGGGACGAGGCCACCATGGGCCGGACGCTCGTGGAGCTGTTTTACGATGTGATCTCCCCGTACTCGTGGCTGGCGTTTGAGGTGAGCGGTGGCACAGGGAGGGAGGCCCTTCCCGGTCTCCGCGGTGCCCGAGCGGCGCTGGCACCCGGCCGGTCCCGCCGCCGCCTCCCTTTCGGAAGAGCCGCTCAAGGGCACCTCGGGCGGCTGGCTGCAGGCCCTTTGCGCCGTGAAGTTAATTTTTCTCTCACCTCTAAGGGGTGCCTGGGCTTCTCCCTCGCGTGTTGAAATCCAGGAACACCAGGGAAGCGTGTCCCAGCCAAACGGCAGTGCAGGAGTTAGTGCTGAACATTTTGCTTCTGGGGTAGCTTTCATATTTAAAAAGTGCAGGTGTCCTGATCATGACATGAGCCTGACCTTTCCCATACTTACCGCTGCTTAGCCTTGGATAGTCGTGACCCGAAGAGAGACCCCTCAGTTTTTCTGAGATCCGAGTTCTCTGGCAGCATCCAAAAAAGGCTTTAGAAAGACTAGCCCTAATACAATAGGGAAGGATTTATCTGTAGTACTTAGTGCCTAAGCTGCACACAGCTCTACAGACATCTCTGACTCTGAATCCCTCACTACTCTTTCACGTTGCAGGCTCTCTGCCGGTACCGGCACATCTGGAATATTGAGCTGCGCTTCCGTCCAGCTTTCCTCGGTGGCATAATGCAACAAACTGGTATGGAGTACAGGGAGATGAGCTCTGCAGGGCTCTGCAGGGCTCAGTGAGGACACCTTCTTCACTAGCAGAGTACTGAGTCTGCAGGCCCTGGGTGTGTGCAGAGCCCACACAGATCCAGCTCTGAACTAAGTTATGGCACCAGTAACAGATTAACTACAGCACTGTGGAGCCCCAAAGAGATTGAGAAATCAGTCACAAGGAATTTCACACTGTTGCAACTACACAGACAGTCTGTGCCAAAGTCCATCTGTTCTAAAATACAATAAATAAATAATAATAATGACAACTTGACAGGGAGTGTTTTCCTAGAGTTAGATTTTAAACCAGACTTAATTTGTGGAACACTTGTACTTTGTAATATACAGGAAAGATACAACCATGTCCTGAGACAGTACTTATGACCTTAATTGGATCACCAAGACTGACAATGCATAAATCATGAATTAACAAGTCTTTCAGTTGGTTTACCCGTGTTTTAGGAGTTGTCTAGCTTAAAAGTCATCTGTCTGAATCAACATAAATCCCTGCTAGGACATTTGTACCTTGGTTTAAAACTGATTCAGCTATCCTAAAGGTTTGATCAGTGCAAAACTGAAATAAACCATGTTTAAATTGTAGCATTATCTTTGGAAAAGCCAAGTATGTTTCAGTAAACCAAAATGAAATTATACTATGAAATTGGAGTCTTTCTTAGGTATATGTACATATGAGGCATAATTTGTCCAGTGTTGGTTTGTTCAGTATTACTATAATACAGCTGGAAATCTCAACAGAACTTTTTCCTAAAAGGTAACAAGCCACCAGCAATGTTACCAAAGCGAGGGGAATACTTGCTGAAGGATATGAAAAGGATGGCAAAGTACTACCAGGTGCCTTTACGTATGACCCCAGACATCATGCAGCACATCATGGGCACTGGTAAGAGTCTTAGCAGCTATTTCTCATCCCTAGCACTTCTGGTTCCAGTTCTCCCTACGATGAAGTCCCTGTGTGCAGCCTTTTCCTGAACCTGTGAGCAGTATGAAGTCTGCATTCATAGCCATGAAGGAAATTTCTGGAGAAATGTGGCTGTGAATCATACTAGCACAGGAGATAACTGTGGATCAACATGAGCTTTACTGTACAGACTGTGGGTTTCTCAGGACTGTTACAGGGGAGATCACACTGTTCTCAGGTAGCAGTCGTGCAGACCACACCTGCTCCTGCTGCTGTGCCTTGTCTGAGTGTTCCTCTGTCTCCCACGAATGCAGGCAGCCTGACGGCCATGCGCTTTATCACAGCCATTGACATGACAAACCCACAGTACCTGGAGCCCTTATCCAGGCAGTTCTGGATGCGCTTTTGGTCACAGGTCAGTACTTCATTCAGCCAGCTCCTTGACCCTTTCTGTCACCTTCCCTGTCCCGCATTGTTCAAATGTGGAATTCCAGCAAGAGGAAGAAAATGTCTTTTAATGAAAAGTCATTGCAGGAACTTAAGGTCACAGTGGTTCCGAAGCCACAAGCTCATGATCAGCCTTATTTGCCTTCTTTTAGGTATATATGGTGAGTCCAACAGGCTTGACCAGTGGATCAGTGGTTCCTATCAGAAAACACTTTAATACATTCCTAGATTAGGTGACTTAAGACCTTTTTGGAGGTAATTTCTCCAGCAATTAGTATTGAGTTTATTTTTGTTTTCTTAGAAAACTTGCTTTTAAAAATCCAGAGATGAGCTTTTGTTTCATAAATACTGATTTACTTATTTTATTATTTTACCAGCATGAAGACATCAGTCAGCCAGAGAACATATTGACTGTAAGTGTTTTCTTTTTCTTGGTGCTTCTGCATTTCTGATAGATATTCTTATTGATGACTTTGAGGAAAAATTGATTTAAATTCACTTGCAGCTCTGTTTGGATTTTTGGGTTTTTTTTTTTTCTCAGAATCAGAATACACTTTTTTTTTTTTTTTTTGTTAATTCATGTGGCAAGATACCCAGGCTGGACAATGAGTTACCTATTGATACTATGTTATTAAAAGTCATGAAAGTATAAGAAAGTATAAATAGTTTCTGCATTGAGGCACTGCTGCTATATGAAATGTTCAGCTGTAATGCAACACTTGGGGAAGGTGACTTTCCTTAGAGTGATGGAGTCAGGTTTTCTATTAAGCTCAGTCCTATTATGCCCTTTTATATACCTGGAAATTACACTCCTGATGTTTTTTCTTTTGCCATTTCAATTTTGTTTATTACAGCAAAAGCTGTAATAGCGTGCAAGGTAGTATACCAGCAGATCCTCTTGAAGGTCTCTCCTTTTATAAGTTCTTGGAATATGGAGAAAAGAGAGGAGTTGACTGGTGTCTCCTATCCAACATCCCTAGTTGAAATCTGAAGCTTGGAGTCTTGCTGTTCCTCCCCAAGTCTAGTTCTTGCACTTCAGCTTCATCATAGTGTCACTTTTTTACTAAAGTTTCAGCAAAGGTTTGCACTTTGCTTTTTAAGAAGCAAGATTTGAAGGATATAAATAAAGTTATTTTTTATTTAAACATATAATTTAATTAATTAACTATACTTATAGCTTAAGATATAATTAATGTGGTACTTTTACTCTGGTAGGCAGCCAAGCACCACACAGGTGCTTACTTGCTTCCTCCCACCGCCCAGAAGGACAGGGGAAGAGGAAAGGAAGAATAAAAGCCAGAAAACGTGTGGGTTGAGATAAAATTACTTAATGAATAAAAGAGAACTGGGAGCAGAGTGAAAGACAACAAAGAATCCCTACATGTAGACTGATGCTCAGCCAGTTCCCAAGAAAAAGCATAACCTGCCTAAACCCCCTCCTCATCAATTACTGCTGAGCATGGCATATGGCATGGTCTGTCTCTTGGGTTAGTTCAGGTCATCTCCCAGCCTCTGGGGAAGCCCCACTTTATTCACTGTGGGGGGAGAGTGAGAACCAGAGACTGCCTCGACACTGTGCAAACGCCATTCATCAATAGCTAAAATAATTAGGATGTTATCAGCATTGTTTTGGTCACAGATCTGACACACAAAACCATAGGAGCTGCTGTGAAGCAAAGTAGCTGCATTCCAGCTAGATCCAATACATAAATATATACAGAACATTGTCACATTGTCTCTGAATCCATCATTATTTAAATAAAGCAAGAACTTCATGCACCACAAACTTCATACTCAGAACAATCTCCAATTTAGCCACAGTTTGGCAGTCGATGAGTATCCCCCCCGTGCATCAATGCAGAGAGGGAGGTGTCCCCTTGTCTGCTTGTGTCTGTCTTCATTCACTCCTGCAACAAGTACTAGACTTTTCTGGAAATTTGTCATCCAAAGGTGGCTGAGAGGTGCCAGCCAATCATCTGAGTCTTTACAGGTGGATTTATTTTACACATCAGTCAGAAAAATGGTACTTTTAAAACCTGATAATAATTCCTTAGTATTCTTTTACTTCTTTATTTAATCAAAAGCAGCTTCACGTAAATTGCTATATCAGCAATGTGTGGTCTGAATTCTGCCCCAGTCCACTTAAATCCTCTTTCTGCCCTGAAATGGTGAGGACCAGATACTACTTCACAGTGTCCATATTGCACTCTAAACACTGTGGCTACCAAGCATTTTGTTCTAGTCCAGTGGTACACTTGTTTAACCTCCTCTTCAAGCACAGTCAGAAAGAGCTCCTCATTTTCCTGATGTGTTAGCAGGAGAAGGCACATGAAAATGCTGGTGCTAAACAAAAAAAAGTCATTGAAAAAGTCATTAACACCTGCATGTGCAGGATTACTTCTCCATGTGCAATACTGCATTTCTTTCTTTTTTTTCTCTCTTTTTGTGAAATACTTTATTCAAAGAGTACTTGGAAATCATTGTTACCAGGTAAACACTGGACGTTTAAATTTGGCTACTTTGTCTCATTCCTGTGTGGCAGAGGCTCAGGGGAGGTGAAAAAGATCCAGCAGTAACACCAGCCACTGTTAAACCTCTGTGATTTGGTGTCTTTCATACAGTGTCACAGATCCCATGTGGCTGCATTTCTGTCTTGGTAGGCTTGTACGGTGAGATTTTACTTTTCATAACACCAGTTTGAGTTTTTTTGTAAGTTATCTGATGAGTCATTGTATCTAAGGTTCTTTTGTTTTTTTTTTTTTCTTTGGTTTAGGAACTCCTGGGGGGAAAAAAGTGCAGATTTGGGGCTTGGAAGATTTAAAATGTCCTTCTACTTTGTATCTGAGAGTTGTTAAATGATGAATAGGTTGGAAATACAGCAAGACAGTTGTGCAAGAAGTGCTTCAAGAGTATTTTGAATTTTTTTGTTAATAGACTGAAGATTAAATTAATTATACCAGGGTGGGAATTGGAATATTTACTTTTAGAGTATTCTTAATTAAATCATCTTTTCACAGATTGCCCGACAGGCTGGGCTCTCAGCAGAGCTCTCCCAGAAGGCACTTGAAATGGCTTCATCCCCTCCAGTGAAGGACCGACTGAAAGACACAACAACTGAAGCACTGAAACATGGGGTGAGATGCTTCCAATGGCACTGGGCTTCACAGCTCTGCATTCCTTCCCCCTTAAGAATACAGGAAAGCAGGGACCAATGAGGGTGATGATTAGAAAGAGCTGTGTAGACTTCTTGTTTTCCAGTGTGTGAAAGCCACCTCACTGTTGCTGGTAGTTTATCTCACTGTCATCTGGGAAAACAAGGTTGACCCACTCATTCCAAGGACAGAACCTTTTTTTTACTGAGAGATACCATTTTACTGAGAGATACCATTTATTGCTACTTGGAATAGAACTGTGGATTAATCAGGTTGTTTTTTATGCTCCTTCAAAAGGGGCACACAGGCTCTGTAGAGTCACCCATTTTTAGATGGCTTCATTAGGCTTATCTTTAAGAAGGAAGAAGGTAAAAAGAAGGGGAGGAAAAAAAGTAAAAAATTGCTGGGATTTATTCCGGAAGATTGGTGATATGACTGCAAGAAATTCTCCCATTATAACATTCTCTGTTTCATCTCCATGGTGTCAATAGGCATTTGGGATGCCTGCTGTTGTGGCACATTATGATGGGAAACCTCATCTGTTTTTTGGCTCTGATCGTTTAGAGCTGCTAGGCAGCGTTATAGGTGAGTCTACCTCATTTCATCACTTTGGTTTCATGCTTTCACCCTCTTGGAACAAAATACGTAATGCAGCTGAATAAAACACTCCTAAGGGCTTTCAAATGTTAAATAATGTTGGTTATCCTTCTCCTGGAATGAAACTGCTGACTGAAATCTGTCCCAGTGCACTTAAAATGACCAAATGATCCTTTTCCAGACCAGAAGTAACTTGAGTTCTCTCTCTCACACCCTCTCTTGGTGTGTTTCAAGGCTTTGTGCTCCATGCGCCATTCTCAAAATATCCATATGTAACCTTTTGGTACTGGACAGTAGACCTTGGCTAAGATTATGACTATGGCTGGTACTGCTTTTTTTGTTGTTGTTGTTGTTCTAACATTTTCATTTTATATCTGTTCCTTCTTATTAAGAGCACATTATTACAGCTCCCCAGTCCTTAACTTGTGTCTACCTACACAGCTGTTTAGGTTGTTCATATATTGACCATCCTTCTTTTCATTTTTCTATTAACAGAATACACACTTTAAATTCTTTAAGAGATTGAAGTAGGTTGTGATAAATAATAAAACTAAAGTTACCTGTTTTTATGAGTTACAGGGCATTTGACTATTCATCTCAAGATCTGGCACTTGAGAGAGTGTCTCTAGAAAGAGTAATGCACATCATTAGTTCATGCATTTGTGGAAGACATTCAGCAGGAAGTATTAATTAATGTAAATTTGTATTAGTCATAGGCTTAAGCAGAATGGAAATTTTTTGAGATTTTCTTTTTTAGTATTCTGGATGAGCTTCTGATTCTATAAAATATTCTTGATGAGCATGACAGTGAGGAAGTAGAGTATCAACACCCACTACAGCAGTCACTAATACTGACTGAAATGCTGTGGCCTGGTTTCTAGTCTCAGCTCCAAGGACTTAATCAGATTTTCTTTCTGATTCTCTGACTCTGCAGCCTTGCACCCTTTTTTTGCTTTTTTTTAACCCCCACTTCCCCCTGCAAAATGAGTCCTAAAAAGAACTGATTTCTCCCTCATGTGGAATATCCCTGACCTGCAGAACATCTCATCTGTAATGGAGGAAAATAATTCTTCTGTACAGTTGTGACTAGACAGTGAAAGATTTATGGAGCTAGCTGTAGCACACCAAACAAGATATAAATCTGTATTCCATCACCAGTAGCTACCCTTCATCTACTGTTCAGAGTAGGAACAATAATCCTGCTGCAGAAAAATGACCAGCCAATTACTTGTACGGATTACATTTTAATATATCTCTTTTGTGCTGGTTTGTCTTGCAGGTGAGAAGTGGCTGGGACCAGTTCCAAGCCCTCAGCTGTGAAAAGCCCTGGGGAAGTATATAGGAAGGAAAATATATATGTCAGTCTTCAGTGGTTATCTGAATGTATTCAATTTTATGGAGAGATGCCTTTCTCATCCTTAATAGTTAACTTTACTGCTTGATCTCATCTGTAATTTTGAAAAATATCAAGGTTTGCCAGTATTACCAGCCTGGTGAGGTATTTACCAATACAAATGTGCTTCCTTTCTTTCAACAGATCAAAGATTAACATTAAAGATTTAACTTCTTGCAGAGTGAACATTCTTCCCTGGTTGGTTTTCTTTCCTTTACCCTGAACACATGAGGATTACGCAGTTACTGGACTGTGACCTCCGGGTTTCTTATGTCTTCCTGTTTGTCCTTTACAAACACACACACACACATAAAACCTAAGAGAAGCTGGTCACATTTCCTTTTATTTTAAGTCCAGTGTACTACATAGACATAAGAAGCACAGGTTAAGATATTAATGCTTCCTTTTACTTTGCATCATGGCAGCTGGGAAAGACACAATTCAAGCCTAAAGAAGAGCCTAGCGAGCCAATCAAGTATTTTAAAAGGAACTGTCCCCATCCTGGACAATATGTGATACACCTGCAGTGACTGATGTTTGAGGAAACCACCATACACGTGCATTTGTGGGCACCAACCCCAAACCTTGCAGGGTTTTTAACTAATCCAGGTTTTACAGGAATGTCTTTGGAGGATGGTTGTGAACACCACTGTAGGTTCAGCTGGTAACTGAAGTAGACTCTGTTTTGCTTCCTCAAGGATGCCCTAATTGCTGCCTATCCAAAGGTGATTTGGATATGGCTGTGAGGGACTTCCAAGCAAGTAGTTTGCAGAGGGAAAGGTATGCAAACAATTAAAATAAGAAATTTCACATGGAAACTGTTTGAGCTTGGCCCTGTATTGGCTGAATTGGAATGACACACAGAAATTTGATTTATAGGAAGTTTGATTTCACAATGATTCCACACTCTGATGCATCACTGAATGAAACAGCAGCAGCTGGAATTCCCTTCGTCTTTTTCTGAACTTTAAGGTAAAGCACATTCACGTATTTTCACTTGAACAGCAAATCCTAGAACAAAGCATCAGAAAAAATATCTGTATACTTCATGTTCTTACACCTCTGAGTGTTGTGGGAGTATCATTTGTTCCCCCATCCACAATTTTTACTTCTTTCAGCTCTTCAGGAAATACCCTAGGATTGGAGGAGTCCTTCCTCTTTTTTACCAGTGCACCCATTACTCTGGGCAAATTCAGCCTGGAACTTAAGGAAAACTTTGTGAGAGATAAGAGGAGTTAGAATGACAAGGAGGTTACCATGGATGTGGCTGCCATAGGTTTCTTTGAGTGCCTTGAAGCCATGTTATAGAAATTTTTTACCATTTCTCCCCTGAAACTTGCTAGCCTCCAATCTGTGCTATCAAACTGATTCAGAGGTTGTGATAAAATGGAATGACTAAAACATCCTTTAAGCCAGTAGCGCTATCTCAGGAGTGGGGTAAAATGCCCTTTTGTGGAAATAATGTGCTCTGGTAAGGAGCTGGTGAGAATTCAAAGAGCACCTGGAAATAATGTCACAGTGAAAAGCAGGGTCTCATGAAACTTTGTTCTTTGAGCCAGATCAACTGAAAAATAACCAGCCTTTGTGGCAGAATGTTGTTGATTTGGCAGATGAACCAAAAGACATGGATCCTACAGACTGCAATATATTTCATGAAATTATTTTAAATGCTCTTTGACCTACTTCAAATCAGTGGAAATTACATGCTCAAAACCTTAGGTACTAAAATCATACATGAGTACTACTGAGATACATTGCTTATTGCCTATAATAGCCACCAGTAAATGCAAAACCACAGCCTTTGCCTTTGTATCAGTGAGTTTGCAGATTGTTGCAATTCTGACTCTCTACCTATTCTGAGCAAAATGTGCCTGTTTGGGAGCAGAACTTTGAGGGAGTTCTGCCCCTCATTTACACAGTCTTGCTCCTGTGTTACAGAGCCGTGCTGTGAGCTCCTGGGAAAAGCTCTGGGGATGACCCCAGTGAACAGTGGCTGGCAGCTGCACTGTCACGCTCAGCTCTAATCTCTGCTGTAGCACACGCTGAAGCAGCCTCAGCGGCGAGTATCAGCTCCCCTCTCTGATCTGCTGTGGCAACCGTGGCCACCACCTCATGGGGCTGAACTGTGCACCTGACTGCTCCGAATGCCACAAGGTGGCAGGGCAGCTAAAACTTGAGCGCTGAGGATCTGAACAGAAACAGTAAGAACTACGAGCTATTTAGGAATGTTTAGGAATAGCTGGAAGAATTTTCTTCCATAAAGGTGATCCTCCTCTACTCAGCTGCGTACCAAACTAGTTCCTGAGAGCCTCAAATCCCCACCATTTTCAAGGCAGCTGTTTAGTGTCAGACCAGAGAAGATACTGGGCAAGGAAAGGGACATTGAGCAAAAAGACTCAACAACATAGACAAAACTGGACTATGAATTCTAGGGAACAATCCTGAAGTGGTGTTCCCATTTTCCCTCATCAGGAAATCAATCCCACTTCCCACGTCTGGAAAAGCTGTGAAACTGGCTTGGCAAGTAGGTCCCACCAATGCTAGGCTGAAAGCAAATAAGCAAGTGTACAGATAGGCACAACATCAGAAAATGAGCAACAAAAAGGGGTTCTGCAAAGTAATGAAACTATTATAAAAAGCAGAGGTTAGGCACAGAGAAAGGCAGGTTGTATCTGAGCAAAGGAAACTGAACAATGAAAGACAAAGAAGAGGAAGAAACTGTGCCTAGATTAGGGTAGAGAACAGAATCTCAATGGGAAATGCTGTTCCCTGAGAGGGAGGAGGCAGCCGGGAAAGGGAGTGCTTAGGTAAATCAGACAGGCCAGAGTCACTTGCCACGGAAGATTGCTTGGGGAGGAAGGTAAAGGACTAACTCTGTTTCCTGAGAAGCTGTACAGCACTTGCTGCACTGTCTCAGAGAGGCAGGGATGGCCAGGGGCCTGTGGCTCTCCTCCCCCGTGTCCATTACCTGTGCTCCTCACCGTGCGTGCAGCAGACAGTGCTCCAGCGCTGACATCACACACAGCACAAAATGGAGGCCTGCAGAACAAGGCACCGCTTTAACCTCCCCCTGCAAACACCTTCCTACTGCCCTTTCAACCCTCAGCAAGCAACACCTAAATCAAGCCTCTCTTTTCTCCCATCCTTATCTCTGTGCAAACGAGAAAACATTTTATTAAAGCACTTACTGGATTATGGTGCTGAGCCTCTGCTTTGCTGCCTTTTCCTTTTCCAGTGGAGCCAGCAACACTGCTGGAAGGAAGCAACCTGCTTCCTAGAAGGGAACCAAGCACAGAACAATACAAAAATAATCAAGAGGGTATCCCAGGAGCTGCACACATAGCTGGTTTTACTCCAAAGTTTTCACAGATCTGTGGCACATCCACAGATAAGAGTGAAAGGAGTGTACCTGTGCCCAAATTGACTAGGTTTACCTTCTACCTGTCTACCTGTTTCTCATTCCAGCTCAAAACATGAGGAAAGTGACTGCTTTAATTTCATTTAAAAATAGTCATCAGCCACTGTTTCCAGACAATCTGAATGCCTTATTCTCAAGGATACACATTTGTGAAGCAGACTCCAATCTTATGCTCTCACAGTGTTTCTCCTCCTTCTACCTCTGACCCCTCCCTTGAGATTCCCATATCTGACCTCAGGGTTTAAGGAATTTGCCTCTCATCACATATCAACACCATGGCAAAACCAGGGATTAAATGCTTGCAAAATTCACAAATTAAAAGCATTCTTTTGCTTTCTGTAATCAGCTTATATTTACCATACACATTTCTCAAAAAATGAGTAAGATGTCTTTAACATAACAGCCTTCTTAAACCATTCTACATTTACTCTTAGATGATCCTCCATTCTATCCATTCTATGGTTAAAATTACTAAATATGCTTATTTCCAACCAGTACAGTTTGTGAGAGTTTATGCATAGCTACATCACAACATAAATCTCTATTATAAAATACTAAATCTTTTCTTTAAATCAGAGGAAAATGGAAAGAGTTTGAATTAAAGAGTTTAGCGTGGAATGTGCTAAGGGGTAGAATGGACAGGTGAATACCTCTGATGGCATATCTAACCACCATTCAATCAGGAAAAGAAAGAAAGCTAATGAGGGATTCCTGCTAAGATGGTAAGCTCAGATGCTTTTCCCAGGAACACTTCTTTCTTTCTTCTTCTTTTTTTTTTTTTTTTACTTATATGTGATCACACCAGTATTTTCTAGGAAACAGATAAGATGCAATTATTGTTTCAGCACTTTTTCCAAGGTAGACTATCCCCTTTCCCAGTGCCATTATGTAATTTAAAACTGAGATATAAAATCAAAATTGGTGAATCACTGCCTAATGCTGCTAAACTGTGATTTTAAACAATGTGAATTAACAATATGAGGGTTCTTCTCTATTTTGTATATATCCCAGTTCCACTATGCTAAAATTTAATAATGATGTATGTTTTTTGTAGGAAGTTACTAACAGGCCAACTAACTAAATAAAAATATACCTAACAGTACTGGTAGTGTCTATGTGTTGAGGAGAGTTATAGCTGAATTTTTATCCTGCCCTTGAGGCTAGGGAGAAAGTCACCTCTGCCTCATGTGACGTGCACTGGCACATGAGACATGTTGGTACTTTAAAGCCAAGTCAGAAAATATTTTGGCAAAGGCAGTTCTCTATGTCATCATCTGGGAGCATAATGACCACAGACTGACTTTTTTTTTTTTCCCTGTAGCTTTGCTGTCTCAATCTGAAAGGCAAATTGGAGAAGCCAAGAATGTGTACATGGGTCAGGAATGTTGGATTTATTCAGCGTAGGATCTAGACTCACAGTGGGCTTGTCTTAGGTTTCTCCATTAAAGAAAATTTGTTTGGTCTGATTTTACACAGTGCATTAACTTCGGCTGAATACTTACTAGATAACTTAATAAAGGGCAAAACTATACCACCAGGATATTGCTCTCTGTCCCCAGGGTTGTAAAACCTAAAAATTACATTGAACTAAACATTGCATTCTCTGTAATGATTATTCTCAGTGATGCATATTAATGCATCTTATATACTGTAAGATAATAGAGTCAGCAGAGAAAGTATCTGTGAAGAGCAGAAGGGGCCAATGGAAAGCATCCCTGCCTCCAGCATCCACAACAAAAGAGGAATATCTGATAGAACAGAGATTTCTGCAGAATATCTGACAGTATCACATCTTCAGTGCTGTTGCTAAGATACAGAC